ATGAATTTGTTCATTTTTGATCATTTTTGATCAATTTTGATCATTATTTGATCATTTTTGATCATCTTTGATCATTTTTTGATCAATTTGGATCATTTTTGATCATTTTCGATTATTTTTGGTCATTTTTGATCATTTTTATAACATTTTTGATTCGTTTTGATCATTTTTTGATCATTTTTGGTCATTTTTTGACCATTATTGATAAATTTTGATCATTTTTTGATCAGTTTCGATCATTTTTTGATCATTTTTGATAATTTTTCGATCATTTTCGATCATTTTTTGATCATTTTTGATAATTTTTTGATCATTTTTTGACCATTTTTGATCATTTTTTGATCATTTTTGATCATTTTTTGATCATTTTTGATCATCTTTGATCATTTTCGATCATTTTTGATCAGTTTTGATCATTTTTTGATCATTTTTGATCATCTTTGATCATTTTCGATCATTTTTGATCAGTTTCGATCATTTTTGATCATATTTTGATCATTCTTGATCATCTTTTGATCATTTTTGATCATTTTTTGATCATTGTTGATCATTTTCGATCATCTTTAGATAATTTTTGATGAATTTTTCATTTTTTGGTCATTTTTCGATCATTTTTGATCATCTTTAGATAATTTTTGATGAATTTGTTCATTTTTGATCATTTTTGATAAATTTTGAACATTTTTGATCATTTTTGATCATTTTTGATAATTTTTTGATCATCTTTGATCATTTTCGATCATTTTTTGATCATTTTTTGGTCATTTTTCGATCATTTTTGATCATCTTTAGATAATTTTTGATGAATTTGTTCATTTTTGATCATTTTTGATAAATTTTGAACATTTTTGATCATTTTTGATCATTTTTGATAATTTTTTGATCATCTTTGATCATTTTCGATCATTTTTTGATCATTTTTGGTCATTTTTCGATCATTTTTGATCATCTTTAGATAATTTTTGATGAATTTGTTCATTTTTGATCATTTTTGATAAATTTTGAACATTTTTGATCATTTTTGATCATTTTTGATAATTTTTTGATCATCTTTGATCATTTTCGATCATTTTTTGATCATTTTTGGTCATTTTTCGATCATTTTTGATCATCTTTAGATAATTTTTGACGAATTTGTTCATTTTTGATCATTTTTGATAAATTTTGAACATTTTTGATCATTTTTTGATCATTTTCGATCATTTTTGATCATTTTTGATCACATTTTGATCATTCTTGATCATTTTCGATCATTTTTGATTAATTTTGATCATCTTTTGATCATTTTTGGTCATTTTTTGACCATTATTGATCAATTTTGATCATTTTTTGATCATTTTCGATCATTTTTTGATCATTTTTGATCATTTTCGATCATTTTTGGTCATTTTTCGATCATTTTTGATCACCTTTTGATCATTTTTGATGAATTTGTTCATTTTTGATCATTTTTGATAAATTTTGAACATTTTTGATCATTTTTGATCATTTTTGATAATTTTTTGATCATCTTTGATCATTTTCGATCATTTTTTGATCATTTTTGGTCATTTTTCGATCATTTTTGATCATCTTTAGATAATTTTTGATGAATTTGTTCATTTTTGATCATTTTTGATAAATTTTGAACATTTTTGATCATTTTTGATCATTTTTGATCATTTTCGATCATTTTTTGATCATTTTCGATCATTTTTGATCATTTTTGATCACATTTTGATCATTCTTGATCATTTTCGATCATTTTTGATTAATTTTGATCATCTTTTGATCATTTTTGGTCATTTTTTGACCATTATTGATCAATTTTGATCAGTTTCGATCATTTTCGATCATTTTTTGATCATTTTTGATCATTTTCGATCATTTTTGGTCATTTTTCGATCATTTTTGATCACCTTTTGATCATTTTTGATGAATTTGTTCATTTTTGATCATTTTTTGATCATTTTTGATAATTTTTCGATCATTTTCGATCATTTTTGATCATTTTTGATCACATTTTGATCATTCTTGATCATTTTCGATCATTTTTGATCATCTTTAGATAATTTTTGATGAATTTGTTCATTTTTGATCATTTTTGATAAATTTTGAACATTTTTGATCATTTTTGATCATTTTTGATCATCTTTGATCATTTTCGATCATTTTTTGATCATTTTTGGTCATTTTTCGATCATTTTTGATCATCTTTAGATAATTTTTGATGAATTTGTTCATTTTTGATCATTTTTGATCATTTTTGATCATTTTTCGATCATTTTTGATCATCTTTAGATAATTTTTGATGAATTTGTTCATTTTTGATCATTTTTGATAAATTTTGAACATTTTTGATCATTCTTGATCATTTTCGATCATTCTTGATCATTTTCGATCATTTTTGATTAATTTTGATCATCTTTTGATCATTTTTGGTCATTTTTTGACCATTATTGATCAATTTTGATCATTTTTTGATCATTTTCGATCATTTTTTGATCATTTTTGATCATTTTCGATCATTTTTGGTCATTTTTCGATCATTTTTGATCACCTTTTGATCATTTTTGATGAATTTGTTCATTTTTGATCATTTTTGATAAATTTTGAACATTTTTGATCATTTTTGATCATTTTTGATAATTTTTTGATCATCTTTGATCATTTTCGATCATTTTTTGATCATTTTTGGTCATTTTTCGATCATTTTTGATCATCTTTAGATAATTTTTGATGAATTTGTTCATTTTTGATCATTTTTGATAAATTTTGAACATTTTTGATCATTTTTGATCATCTTTGATCATTTTCGATCATTTTTTGATCATTTTCGATCATTATTGATCATTTTTGATCACATTTTGATCATTCTTGATCATTTTCGATCATTTTTGATTAATTTTGATCATCTTTTGATCATTTTTGGTCATTTTTTGACCATTATTGATCAATTTTGATCATTTTCGATCATTTTTTGATCATTTTTGATCATTTTCGATCATTTTTGGTCATTTTTCGATCATTTTTGATCATCTTTTGATCATTTTTGATGAATTTGTTCATTTTTGATCATTTTTGATAAATTTTGAACATTTTTGATCATTTTTGATCATTTTTGATAATTTTTTGATCATCTTTGATCATTTTCGATCATTTTGTGATCATTTTCGATCATTTTTGATCATTTTTGATCACATTTTGATCATTCTTGATCATTTTCGATCATTTTTGATTAATTTTGATCATCTTTTGATCATTTTTGGTCATTTTTTGACCATTATTGATCAATTTTGATCATTTTTTGATCATTTTCGATCATTTTTTGATCATTTTTGATCATTTTCGATCATTTTTGGTCATTTTTCGATCATTTTTGATCACCTTTTGATCATTTTTGATGAATTTGTTCATTTTTGATCATTTTTTGATCATTTTTGATAATTTTTTGATCAATTTGGATCATTTTCGATTATTTTTGGTCATTTTTGATCATTTTTATAACATTTTTGATCAGTTTCGATCATTTTTTGATCATTTTTGATAATTTTTTGATCATTTTTGATCATCTTTGATCATTTTCGATCATTTTTTGATCATTTTTGATCAATTTGGATTTTTTGTGATAATTTTTCGATCATTTTTGATCAATTTTGGTCATGTTTGATCATTTTTTGATCATTCTTGATCATTTTCGATCATTTTTGATTAATTTTGATCATCTTTTGATCATTTTTGGTCATTTTTTGACCATTATTGATCAATTTTGATCATCTTTGATAATTTTTGATAATTATTTGATCAGTTTTGTTTATTTTTGATCATTTTTGATCATCTTTGATCATTTTTTGATTATTCTTGATCATTTTTGACCATTATTGATAAATTTTGAACATTTTTGATCATTTTTGATCATCTTTTTAACGTTACGTAAAAAAACGCTTTTTTTCACCCCCCCCCCCTCCTCCCTTTTTACAATATGTTACTATGTTACAACTCACACCCCCCCCCCCCCCCCCTCCTGAACGTTCATAATTTATTTTATTTTGATAATTTTTTATTCTAAAAAGACGATTAAATTTCTTTTGTATTTTTTTCTTAAACATCAAAATACTGTACAGCTAAAAAGGTCATGTTTTGATTGATTTTATTAGTATTCTCATGAATTATTGGATTGAGATATAAAGCAAAATATCTTTTTTTTTTGTTTTTTTTTTGAAGAAAATTCAAAAATATCACGAAAAATATTATGCCCGATCGAATTTTGGAAAATTCAATCAACTTTGAATGTAAATATCATAATGATGGGATCATATGAATGACAGATTTAGAGAGATTTTTTTAAATAATAATAATAATAATAATAATGTTCGAAGGGCCCGGCCTTTCAGCTGGAGGCACTGCGATTCAAATTAGAACAGAGTCTATCCACACCCTTTAGACCTACAGTTTATAGTGGGATCCGAACCACTTGCAAGCTCTGAACATTGCAAAGACACGAGTACGTCATAAGACCTGATGTACCCTGCAATGTACCTAGTCACAATTCGTGTGCGCAAGATGCCGTAAGGAAGTCATCCATATGCTAGTATATCCTTGTATACCTAGCAAAGGAGCCAGATTCTGTGCCAAAGACCTTAAAACTACACCCAACACACGAACCGAGCTTCGTAACTAGAACGGTGAAATGGAAAAAGACCTTCGAAAATTAGACATGGCCTGGGATTGAACCCATGACCTTTGGCACGTAAGGCCTTACCATTTAGGCCACTGATGCAAGTTCACAGCATTTTTGATGTACTTAATGTTTAATATTTTTTGAAATACAATTTATATGCTTTGATAAAGGCAAAATTTTAGAGCTGTTTGCTTATTGATTCGCATTTTGATTCTTGTCAAATACTTATCGCCAACACAAAAATGCGCTTAAGTCCCTCGATCAATAACACGAAGACTTCTGTAATTTTTTAAATTTTGCTGCTAAATAGTATAAGAATTTAATCAATTTTAATTCTGTAGAAATATTTAATTTATTGCTTACGCTATATAATCTTATTGCTTAAATTACAAAAATTTTAATAATAATTCTTGCCGATTACTTCAATTGGTCTAATAAGAACCGCTGATTCTCAACTTTTCTTTTCTTTCCGCTTGTATTTTCTCTGTTGACAGTTACTTCAGATTTTCGCTTTTTACTAGGTTCTTCTTTCTTTTCAATTGGTGCAAAACTCATGGAATTTCCACCATGCGAGCTTAAATTTGTTACTTCGTCATCTTTAGTTGTTATAAAACTAGCAATTTTGGTTAATGTGTGCTCATCTCTCGACAGGAATGACGAATGTGTGAATTTCTTCGTACTTACAGCTTTAATTAAAAATGATGATTCTGACTTGCTATTTTCTGAGCTTAAATTCAATCCAATTGACGGTGAATTTGTTTTGATGATTTTAAATTTTCTTTTAACTAAAGTTGATGTATTTGCAGTTGTTACTGTCTGACTACTTTGATCCAAAAGTAAGATATCGGTACTCATAGTTTCACTGTCTGCCATTTTCTGTGACTGCTCGTTTATTAACATTTCTCGTTCGTGTCTCATTTTACGCCACAATATCTCATTTTCTTCTTCTTGTTCACCTTCAATATCGTCGGCATCGCGAGCATTTTCGTCTACCATTGTAAAACCTTCTGCCTGATTTTTCCATCGGAATTTTCTTTCACGGCCAATTCCATCATCTTCCTCGTTTTCAAATAAAAGGTTTTCTATTTTCTTAAGATCTTTTGCATCTTCGTCCATCATTTTTCTAGCATGAATACGACCGACTTCTTCGCGTAATTTGTTTTGATCAAATTGTTCTTCGTCAGCTAAATCCATTTCATAATTATCTAAGCCTTTTTCGTCTTCATCGGCACTTTGCCATTCTTCTTCAGAAAGTTCTGCTTCCTTCTCGAAATAATCTTTTGCTGCCTTTAGTCGTTCCTTTTTTGTCAATTTTACTTGTACTTCATTTTCCTCAGAATCATAATCAACATACGTTTCAGGTTCATCTAGCTCACTTTCAGGCATATCAATCAATGATTCTTCGTCTAATAAATCAGCGTCAACTGCATTTTGATCACTTTCATCTTCATCGTCCGAAAAACCTAATTTCTTAACTTTATTCTTTTTATTCTTTCTTTTTGTAAGTTTCTTTTTTCGATTTACAGCATTTTCTTCTGTTTCTTCATCCGTTGATTCCAATAATTTATTCAATTTCTTAATTGGATGGACTTTATTGCTTTCATGATTAACTTCGGAATTCATTTCAGTTACATTTGAATCATTTTCTGTTGGATTTTGAAGCCCTGGTTGATTCTCAATGCGATCTGACACATCCATTACAAAAGAATCATTGTCTTGTATTGCTTTGTCAGGAACTTGTGTAATAAAATCTGAGAAATCATCCTGCGATTCAGCTGCTGTGATGTTTTGTGAGAATTTAAAGTCGTTGTTTGTCAGGATAATTTCTGAAGGTGTAGATACAAACTGACCAGAACATAAACCCATTAAATCGTCATCATTTTCAATTGCTTGTGATGGTGGATCAAATAGTGCATTAATATTATTTCCATCAATCTCTTCCGAAACGCTTGGCTCGTTAAACGTAAAATCAGCTGTGAAAAAATAATCATTAAGTTTTAAACAAATAAACAAATTGAATGCCAACTTACTAGCTTGTGAATTAAACAAATCCTCTGAAACTTGAAGGTTTTGTGAAAATTCCTTTTCATTTTGATCATTCGATTGAGCTTGTAGCTGCACATTATCTACTTCATCTGTTTGTGCCTTTGTATTAACTTTAGATTCCTCGTCGTCTGAATCCTCGAAAGCCTTTAAAATACGACTTTTCTTTTGTGCTGTATTAGGCTGATCAATTTCAGCCTCATCGTCGTCACTTGACTCGCTTTCAGACTCACTTGATTCTTCTTCATTTTCGTCCTCATCAACTGCCTGATTATAACGAAAATTTGATTAAATAAAGTTTTAATGTATTTAAAGAATTAATAAATACCTCTTCGTCCAAGAATTTAGAGCCATCACTTTTCTTTTTAGACTTGTTTTGCGTGACTGCATCCTCTTCTTCGTCACTAGTAGTTTCTTGTGCTGATTCATCGCCACTATTGTCATTTTCTGGATTATAATCTTCATCAATGTCTTCCTTTTTGTGTGGAAAATGCTCTTTATCTTCTGGTTCTAATTCCGCTGTTTCAGACTTCACAAATCTTTTTTTAAGCTTTTCTAGTCGTTGCTGTAAAATTTGATTACGTAGATTTTCTTTCAACTTTTCACGTGATGTTCCTGGTCGTGAATGATCGAACTCAACTTCCTTATCAAGTCTTACTTCCACTTTTTGATTTTCAAGCTTTCCGTTCTCAATACTTAAAATATTCATGCACACTGTATCTTTGTGCTTTGGTTTGGCCTGTGTTTTAAGATAATTCTGAAACAACATTTCAGGACCAGTAAGTTTTTTGGGCTTAATTGTTCCACTTTCCAAGTCAATTATAAGATTATCCTTTCCATTCATCTCACTTAAGGTTTTGAGTCCAATAGAATTTCTCTTTAATTCAATAACATTTTCCTTCAAACTGTATTTTTCTTCCAATAATTTATCTGCATTCTCCTTCTCAAAATCGATTGAATTTGATAGAATTTCGGTGTTTTCTGATGCTGTCATGTCCTCTTCCATGTCTAAGCTGTCCAAACTTGCCATTTTAATAGTCTAATTCAATTATTTTCACTGCATCACAATATTTACTTTTTTTTACGGTTAAGTTTTTCCCGCTCAAATTTTTCACTGAATCAAAACTCAACAATTCAAATTTCAAAAAAACGTTACTTAATGAAGCTTAATAAAAAGAGAATCGAAGATCTGAAGCAAATTTAAATTAATTAAAAGCCTCAAGAGTTAATTATATTAGTTGTCAACGTTTATTTTATTGAGAGAAGATGTATGTGAACTTACATCAAAGCATATAGAAATGAAAAATCTCTGTGCTATATCCCAAATCTTTCATCTCTCGAATTTTTTCAGATCACAGAAAATAAATTAATATTAATGTTTTCGCTGTTAATGCGATGAATATAGACACTAGAATTTACTTTTTAATGGTGATTAAGCAAATTAAGCTGAAGTGGCTCATTGGCGGAATTGTTAAGTACTTCGGTGCTTAATTATTGCAATACTGACACAGCGATCATAGGTTCGAGACTGGGTATGGATACATGGATACGTATGGGAAATTTTTCAGTTGTTATTTTTCGAATTATATGTACTGAAATAAGGCTTAGAGTCTTTCTTTAAAGCTATTGGCAGGAATGTCATCAAAGGAAGTGGTTAGGATCCCATTATAAATTGTAGGTCTAGGTTTAGAGTGCTATGGTTTGACGCATCCTCACTCGCTTTCATTAGCTGCGAAATGCCCTAGCTGCCTGCTCACAATTGATCTGAATAGTTAAGGGTTCTTTAGTCTTTTCTTGCTTGACCCCCCCCCCCCCCCACCGCAAAATTTATATTTTGAAAAAATTATATTTTTGTAATTGAATTGATTAACACTTTTATTTTAATTAAATAATAATCACTAAGTCAAAATTGCGCAGATGTCCCTCGATCAATAACACGACGATTTTCGTAATTTTTATCACGAAGAAATTTTTTTTTCTTTCAACCATCACAAAATCTCAACAATTAATTCTCCACCCTACAACTCGACCGTAAGAAGTGAAAGACTCTCAATAAAAACTTAATCGAATTTTCCGATTTAATGCGTATTAAAGATTTACTCATTGCAACATATCTCTACTAATACAAGCTACTACCGATAAACAGCTCTCTGACTCACTTATATTCAAAGTCTGCAATTTATTTAAATTTTTTTTATTATCATTAAATATATAAGAAAGAAAAAAAAACTTTCCCCAGTCCAGTCTTTAAAAATTATTTGCTTTTTACAATGTCAACGTTGCTACAAAAAGCAGAAAAAGAGAGAAAAAAAAACTTTTCTTCGGTGTTGAGGCTGCTGATATCGTTAAACCATATTCATTTCTTCGATCTTTTTCGACTAATTGAGTCAAAGTCGCTCTGAGTACCGATCGTGCAGTGTTGTTTGTGAATTTAAAGAAATCGGTTGAGCGGTTGCGGCAGTCAATAAAGTTTATTAAGTGACATTAAGTTCACAAAATTTTAAATATTTCAAAAGAAAACCGTGCAGTGCGACATAACAGCTGATTAATTAATTTAAAAGAATATATTTTGGAGATTATAATTTTTTAAAAGACTTAAAAATCAGAAAATACTGCAAAATTAACAAGTTAAACACTTCTTATAAGAGTTACGGAACAACGAAATTGACAAATTTACACTGCAGTAAAAAGTTTTTTTTTTGCATATGAAATGTGAAAAGAAAGTAAAAGTAAAGATAAAAAGAAAAAAGGAAGGAAAATAATTATAAACCTAATATCATAATTATAAAGAGTGTCAGCAACGATAAGTTTTGTTACAAAAGAAATTAAATAATATCAAACATTATCGATTGACTTTCAAGAAAAAAAAAAACTTTCTGTGGATTTTATAGTGTGAGAAACTTCTTATTATATAAGATGAGAGAAATAAATGCAAGAAGAGATTAATTTAATGTCTAGAAAGTGTTTATATGTACATATTTAGTTTTCACGTATCTGACCTTGACTGAGTAGTTCAATAGTAGCTCAAAATATTTAAATGTGATACGGTCTAATTGTTAAGTGATGAAACAATCAGTATTTATCGTAAATTGAAAGAGTTTAATATTTTATTTATTTTTCAAAAAAAGAAACAGTTTATTTAGTCAGAAACATCGAATTAAGAGGATAAGAACAGAGTGTTTAAATATTAAATGAATTGTTGAAAAGTATTGAATTAATTTTAAAATCAATAAACCATAAAGTGTCAATTATTATTAAGCCAGACAGTTCAGTGTCCAAAAAAACAAATAAAAAGTGAAAGATAATGAGAATTTTGTTAAAAGTTCAAAAGATGATAAGATATATTATGATAATATTGATTATTTTTACTTTAATGAATATTGCAAAAGCTTACAACATTTCATCTTCATTGGAAACTTACGCGGATAAAAATCAGACAAGAGATGGACGCTTTTTGTTTGACTCTCTTTTTGGTCTTGAACTAGAAGAGGAATTGATTAACGCTGCTGCACAAAACACTCTTAAGTCATGCGATTGTGGTATGTTACACTTACACATTAACTCATATGTTCGGCGGTAGTGGACTTGAATGAAAATGAAAGTCTGTGGAAATTACTTTGTGATTCATCGTTATTACTGGTTAATAAATCTTCAATAATCTTCAGTTAAATTATTAAAAGTGACTTGACATTTCAGTTTCTAGCAATTTTAATTTATACCATTAAACTCTTCAAAATTAATGTTGACTGAATAATAAATAGCTTTTCTTCAGAAGAAAATTCATAAATATTTTTCTTAAATTTAAGTATGGTAGAGTTGGGAGGGGGGGGGGGGGGGTGTGATGTTTATATGAAATTAACCAAGAAACAAGATTCTGGATGATTCTCAAACTCGCTACACGCCTAATGTTAAATTAAATATTCAAAGATAAAAATTGGGTATTACGGAAAATAAATATCTAAATTGCATAAGTTTAAGGCGGCCCAAAAGAAAATACTTTATCACTTAAGGGGTCATTCGCTTTAACATCCATAAAAAACAGGTTTTAGACCCCCTCCCCTATCTGTCACAGATGCCAGTACCCCCCCCCCCCCCCCCCCCCCTCACACTTGGGACTTCCAATCAAAATTTTTGGTGATATAAAAATATTGATTTCCTTATTGCAAATTGGAAATATTGATTTCCTTGCACAAATTTCCTGACCTTCCTCCCCTGTCACAATGTGTTACAAAATCCAAGACCCCCCTCCCCCCTTAATCTCAGGCGTAATAAGTGAATGAACTTAAAGAATCTCCTGAAATGCACAAACCGTTCAGAAATTCGACGACAAGAGTCAGATTTCTGAACGATTAACCTACTTTTGCTAGCATGGTCTATCACTTATAATGTTAAACACAAAAACTGATTTTTCAGCCCCCCCCCCCCCCCATCTTGTTACAAAATTGTTTGTAATGTTACCTCTCCTATTTTAAAATCGAACCTTATAGGCTGAAAGAACCGTCTTAAATTTAATTTTTAATTTTAGAATGTGGACAAGCAACTCAAGAAATCAGAATTGTTGGTAAGGATCAGATTTATTATAAAGCACATTTAATTTTTTTTTTGTTTCTTAAATTAATTTTAATTATTATGTAATTTAAGGTGGACGGCCCACAGGAATTAATCAATTTCCTTGGATAGTACGGTATGCATAATTTTTATAACTTCATTTCCATTTTGAAACAACTCTTTAACATATGTTTACAACTTTTAAACAGACTTGTGTATGATGGACAGGTAAGTTAAAAAATTTGTATTTATAGGAACGTTTTTTGAGAAGAAGAAGCAAAACTTTTCATGCCAAAAATTTTTTAATAAATATTTTAAAACTTATTAGTTTCACTGTGGAGGGTCACTCCTTACTCAGGATTTTGTGCTAACGGTAAGAAATTAATAAAAGTCAATTATTATACCAAAATAGTTTAAAATTATTATCAAAAACAGGCAGCACATTGCGTTCGTCGTTTAAAGAGAAGTAAAATTCGCGTAGTTTTGGGCGATCATGATCAATTCCTTACGACTGAAACAGAGGCAATTCAGAGAGCTGTTAGTGCAATAATAAGACACAGAAATTTTGATCAAAACACGTACAATCATGACATTGCACTTCTTCGTCTACGTAAGCCAGTAACTTTTACCAAAAGCATACAACCTATATGCCTACCAAAAGAATCAATTGATCCATCAGGAAAGGTTGCAACAGGTTAGAGATTTGTGAATTATTTAATATTCTAATAATTTCAAATTGCTTATTAATCCTAGTTATTGGCTGGGGGAGGACAAGCGAAGGTGGTTCACTTCCAGGACTTCTTCAGCATGTAAATGTACCAATTTTAACATTAGATCAGTGCAGGAATATGAAATATAGATCATCTAGGATCACACCAAATATGGTAAGCCAAAGAATATAAAATTAAAAATCCAGCAATAATAATTTAATTTCCCTTAGCTTTGTGCTGGAAAAGGAAACAAACAAGATTCATGCCAATTAAGTATCATATCCAATAATTAGAAAATTAATATCAAATCAGCATAATAACAAATTTCATTATTTCCCGTGTTAATCAGGAAATTTAATAAATCTTAATCAATTTTTGTAGGGTGATTCCGGTAAGTTGCAAATTGCTAATGATTTAATTATTCAAAATAATTTTTAAAATGTCTCTTTTCTTAATAAAAGGTGGCCCATTGTTGGTGCGGACGGGTGAGAAGCATGAAATTTATGGGTAAGCAAAATGGAATCCTTAATTTTTGAGCATTTGAAAACGATTCTTTGATAATTAATTTCAGAATTGTTTCCTGGGGTGTTGGATGTGTAAGTGAAAATGACCTAAAGTTGAAGAACTGATTTAAACGTAATTTATCAGTTCTGCACTGACTATTACGAAATGACATTGCTCTAATAAAACATATTTCTTTTGTAAAGGGACGACAAGGTTACCCCGGTGTTTATACCAGAGTTCAAAGGTACTTAATTTAAATAAATAAAATTTACAAATTATAAAAATATTGAAAATTTAATTTATTATTTTAGATATCTGTAAGGCAACCCGCAATTG